AGGGACACAAGGCAGACCAATGCAGCACCGAAGTATAAATCAAGAGGCTGCGTCCATTCATTCATTCATTCCTGCGGATGCCATGCGGAAGCGCTGCCTAGCAGCTTGTGCGAGGAGGTCTGCAGAGTGCCCGAAGACGAAGTGGGTAGAGTGCAGCGATAGGTAGTGGCAGCTAGCGCTGCCATAGCTGTAGCCTAGCATGTGTGGTGTGTGAAGTATAATACTGAGTGTTGTGTGGGACATCCAGGGTGATCCAGAGTGTGAACAGTGAGTTGTGTGGGCGCCCAGTCGCCATAGCCAGTTGAAGAGAACTCATATCTGGTTACGATATCTTGAGTATTGTGTGGGCGCATGTCGCCAGTTGCTGTTTCGCTGTTTGCATACATGACAAGTGTGAAGAAGTCGAGTATGATTGCACCTTTTGCAATTGCACCTATGAGAAACTTGGCAACTGCCGGGCCATTTTGCAAAGTTGGGCAGCATCTGGTAGGGGTACATTGCAAAGATGGGGTCCAACTGATGGCTGGGGTGTTTTGGAAATCTTTTTGTCATCGACCTTTGCTGCAGCAGGTCCACTTGTCTTCCATAAACTAAGCAGAGAGTTTTTGTTTCTGACAACATGAGACTTGAGAGTGTTAAGCTTCTAGGGTTAAGCTCATGAGTTGATAAATGTGCAGCATTGCGCACCTTTATGTTTGTTGATATGGATGTCCGCTGCAGGGTCCTTCCCATCTGCTCTGCAATCCCCATGAACCTGTTGTTGAAGATGGAGAGCTGCACCACATCGAGCTCTGTCCCAATCGGCCTTTCCTGTGTCATCATTTCCCTTCCTAACCCTGCATTCTGCACTATGTCATGTGCAGAAACAGTCATGTCTGTGGCACAGAAGCATGTCCAGAACATAAGGACAACGTATAAGACCACAAGATTAAATCACAAGATTCACAATCACAGTGGCTGTACTTCTTGGTAGAATCACAACCCTGAATTTTCCTAATAGATGCACTTTTTGACCGAATCATTGAGCCTGCATCTTTGGAAAACACAAAATACAACATCTCAACCATGAATGATGGAAGCTTTTGGTTCACTTTTTAACAAAGGCGCACTTCGCTCACCAGTACTAAAGTGTGCAGTCCATCAGAGCCCCAAAATTCACTGCATCTTTGACCTTTGGATAATCACAAACCAAGCACACAAAAGAGTTGAAAAAAACTTCTCTACTAAATACTCATAGCTGCTAGGAGAAACCATATCCCTGTCCTTACAGACATCCATTAAAATTGGAGCGATACAGAGAAGATTAGCATGGCCCCTGCACAAGGGCAACACACATAAATCAAGAAATGGTCTAAATAATTAGTGGGGGGGGGGGGACATATCCTCGCTGCTGCACGTTTTTGTCAGTGAGCATCAGTAACCCAATGTTTCGCACTGGGAGAAAAGACCACAAGCGAGGAAGATCTGGGCCCACCTGCTTTGGACCTCTGTTGTACAAACTAACTTGGACAAGCCGTATAATAGGCGGGCATAGGGTCCAGTTTTGTTCTCCTATAAACAGGCATAGATATGGTTCTGGGTATTCCAATAAGACCTAGGAAGGGGTAAGGAGTACTAAGGACATATCGGCAACCATATCCAGGCAGTGGACACTGACTACTATACAGTAGAAGAACAAGGGTTTCCAAAGCCTCTATGCAGGTTATTCGCCCAGGGACAGGCTTCCTGTGCTGGGAAGGGGCAGGGATATAGTGAATTTACGTGGGTCAGTAGGGTCTCGTACTTCGTCAGGGGCAAGGGTGATTCGCTCTACAAGAGCACACTTAACGTGTCCACCCATCGTCGACTTTCCCATATAGACTTATGACTCTTCAGAATGGCAGAGGTCACTGATTCTGTGGTACAGATTCAGGCTGGTCTGCAGTATTAATCTCCTAGAGTGCAAGTGACATTCCAGAATCATTCTGTTATTGCACCTTTCATCAGACGCTCATTGCCGTGTGCCAGTGACAGCTGTTTCAAAGCTTCTCTGGCCACGCGAGTGGCAATGGCGGAGCAGAAGGATGCCTGAGGCTCCGATATACCTCTCTTGTTCCCCCCACTTTTCCCATATGTTCTCTGAATGAACCTCTTGCTGAACCCAACATTCCCTCCACCGAACGTCGCCCTCCTCTTGTTTCCTCCTCTTTTTCTTCTTCTGACTTTCTTCATCTCTCCCCTCTCCCCCTTGCCCCCCCTCTCACCCCTCTCCCCTCCCTCTAATCTCATCGATGTTCCTCCTCATCCTGTACCCAATCCATCCCCAGCGTACCTCTGATCCGCTCTTCTCCACGATTTTGGTTCATTGATGTAGTTTTGTCCTGGGATAACATCTCGTCACCTCCTACTGTGCACAGTCTCAAGTGGAAAGAAGCTATGAAACATGATGGTTGATGTCTATTCCTGAGGGCAAAATCTCGGTTTGGCAAGACGGCTCACTCCACATTAGCGCATTCGACAAGGCAGAGGCCTGGACATTTCTGTATCCCAATGCCTCCTCAAATGCCCCGTCCATCAGCCTGCTGACCAGCTGATGAGGTTTGATCATATATGTAATAATACTGCCGACTTCAGAGCTGCAGTGACCTTCCCAAGTGCTCTGACTAGAGAATGGACCGCCTATCTATGTGGGCGGCAGCATCGTTTACCAACTCACATCACGTGGCTGAGGACCTGGTTCACTGGTCACGTGCTGATCTGCAGTCTACGATTATGAGCAAATTGCCACCGGGGAAATTGGAACCATTAATGTGAAAGCTGCAGTTACAGTCGAAGCACAGACTTCTGTTGCAGACCGTGCATGCTGCCCAACTGGCTGCCGTGGACGGTTTCTGAAGCCCTGCCCTTGTTGTTGCAGAATCCACTCCGACAAATATTGACGAACGACTGCAGTTATTCCTGCAAGTAACATAACAAGGAAGAGGGCCGAGTAATGGAGCTGAGCAGGAGGCTTGCCACCTATGGCCCCTTCTCCCCCTTATTCTCCCCCCTGATTCCCCGTCACCACCACTGCTGCCCTCTATTGAACTTTCCTCTTCACCATCCTCCCCATCTACCATGTCGTCTTCATTCTCTCGCTCTCCCTTCTCTCCAGTGGGTATGTTTTTTGTATGTAATTTATGCTTTCAGACTGCTTTCCAGTGGAAGGCATACGTGTTCATCCAGTTGTATTCAGGGAAGCTTGTTTTCCATTGGAAGGCATACATGTCCATCCAGTTGTATATGCGGATCCTTGGACATGCAACTCCTCTGAACACTTTGGGGCGTGCTCTACAGTGTGAACACGTGTACACGACTCAAGCCCTCATGGCGATTGTCTGCCACACAACTTTTTGGGAGAGGACTAGGTGGATAGGTGTGTTGTATGTAGTTTCGGGACTCCAGCAGCTTTTTCAATGGAGGCATACATGTCCATCAAAAGTTGGGACGAAGAGATCAATACGACAAAGGAAATGAGGAAGTTTGAGGGAGTAGTCTCACATCCTTGACCACGGGGATCTATTGTCCACGTATTTCCAAGGGTTCCTTGTGTTGAAGTGTTTTTATTACCATTAAGCTCCTTTTTATTGAGTACATGTACAAATGAATTGGATAACATTGTTATAAGCTTATAAAGTTATAATACTAATAAAGAAATAAACAATTTAAAGTAAGTAGATAAAAATAATGCCCCTTCCGTCAGTGGACTGGTATGTACCTCTATTACCATCCACAGCCTTCGAATCAATCTCAATCATAACATTTCCATACTTCGAAATTGTTGCTGTTGATCCTGGCTCTACAAGAATCTGCCAAACAAAGAGAAAACCACAAAGAAGTGAAATGGTTCGCAACTTCGTATCCTTCAGGAGAAGCAAAATGGTTCACAACTTTGCATCATAATTGTCGGAGAGAGACATGACAGCCTCCTCCTAATGGGGCACACACCAGCGAAAGCATGATGGGGAGCCAGAGCGAGGGTGCCCACACAGTAGACACGAAGATAAAACACGGGGTAAGCAAACAGTCGTAAGTGCACGGGGAAAGAGAAGAAACACAGCACCAATATGCGGGTCCAATCTGTCGTGCATTATGACAGAGATACGGAAATCGCTGCCCTCTCATTGCTCATCATTTCTTCAATTGCAACGCAGTCGGTGAGGCTAAGGAGGTGATGGTTCATGGGAAACAGGAGCTAGAAGAGGTGAAATTGTTTTTAGGTTTTCTTTCTCGAGGGTGTATTTCAAGGAGAATTGTGATTCAGGGCATAATACAAGCCTGGAAAAGCTTGACACATTACACCACAACAAGGTACTAACAAGCGAGTAAAGATGGCCCTCACACAGTATCCACATCATACGCAGGTTAGTAAGCACACGCTACCAATATACTACAAAGATAGCATCTACATACTCCCCACATTAATGCACTACAGAGATGCTCTCTCCCTCTCTCTCTCTCCCCCCCCCAACAAGTGGTCAACGACTTTTCTTTGCTGAAAATAATTTTGAAGTAGAAAAGGTTCAGCGATTATAAGTTTTTTGAAACTAGGTTTCAACGACCTCAAAGGTGCTGAAAATGTCAAATGCCCCCCTTTGGATAAACGTTGAACATTCTGAAAATTTTGAAGTCATGAACGTGACGGATATTTTGAATGCCCCCTGCGTCTAAATGCACATTTACGTTGAAGATTCTGAAGATGCTGAAAATTTTGAACACCCTCCCCCAGGGTGTCCAAATGCATATTAATGCTGAAGATTCTCTCTTTTTTCAGCTTCCCTTTGTGTTTGGAGGCGAATGCACTAAGCATAGTATCCCAGGAATATACAGGCGCATTCGGAGGTGCACGATACAGGCTTCGTGAAAGAAACAAAACAGAAAAGATATCGGTTTCGTCAACTTTTTGAAGATGCTCCTTCCGGCCCTGTCTGGATGCCAGACCCCGCCCTTGAAAAAACACCCAGTATTTTTGCATGGTGGTCTAGCGTCGAAGGGACCTGGGGCCCAAAAAAAAAAAAAGTGCTACCCCCAATTATCCAGCATCCGGACCATTTTCCGGACATCTGGACCGGACTCCGGACTCTGGTCAGTCCGGATCCCTGTCCGGCTGTCTGGATCGTAGCTATGCTTCAAAATTTCCAGCATCTTCACCACTTCAAAGTTTTTAGAATCTTTTCAACGTTAATATGCAGGCAGATTATGGAAATTCTCAAAAGTATCAAGTGGTGCAGGTGCTGAAATTATGAACACTTCCCCTTAAACCACCACATCCTCTCAGGCTGGGACGCTAAGTCGTGAAAGTAACCTATACCGCATTCTTCGGAGACCGGCGGAGGCTAGGTGCTATCGGACAACAAAGGCTGGCGGTGGAAGCCAAAAGAAAACAAAAACGTCGTGCTGGCGCTTCCCCCCCCAGTTGGCCCGCAGTTTGACTCCACCTCAGGAAAAAAAAAGGCTCGGAGGTAGGTGGTGGGTTAAAGACAACAAAATAAGGGGGAAGAGGAGGGGGGGGGGGAGGGAAGGGCTCAGAATTTCAGCATCTTCACCACTTCCACATCTTCATAATGAATCAGTGCCCGTCAGAACGGGCGCCTGCAATGCACAAAAGACAAAAAGCCTTGCTCCACAGCTTACCACATGTACAAAAGACAAAAAATGTGTCCGTGCATCTTCCCATGTTCTAGCGGAAGTTTCATTCTCATTTTGCACATTTGGTGTGTAGTGGAGCGAGGCCCTAAGTACCCCGTTCTTTGTCTGCCTTCCCGTCCTACACACTTTATAAGGAAAGTGACGTCTTGTTGTTGTTTTTTTCTGTTTTTTTGTTTCTTTCTTTTTGCAGAAGGGCGTGAATGTGTCCACTCAAATGTGCCCATATTTTCCAAGGATGGGGTGATTCGTACATTCCCACCAAAAACAAACGAGAAAAAAAAAAAAAAAAAAAAAAAAAAACGAGCATCCCATTTTGGGAAAGAAAACAGCACCTCCAACGTATCCAGGGACTTTCAGTCACCTGTTTCTCCCTGCCCGCCACTTGGCGGGCTCCGTGTGTTGTATTTTCTTTTGCTTCTTTCTAGTGGCCGTTGGCAAAGCCAACAAAAAGATTCAGCCCTCTGTGGCTAAATATACCCATGAACTGTTGAAACAGATAACTGAGTGCAAGCCTTGGAGTCTTTTGGGCCTCGTTCCACCACTTTCGACATGTGCAAAACGAGAGTGAATCTTCCGTTAGAACATAGAAAGATACACCGCCATGATTTCTGCTGTGCATGTAGAGAGTAATGGATCGACGCCTTTATTCTAAGCAACAACTCATTTAGGTTACACCATAGTAGAAATCCCCCTCTCTCCTCCCCCTGCCCCTTCCCCCCCCTTCCCCCCCCAGGAAAATATTGCAATCCGGACAGGACATCCGGACGTGTCCGGATATCCCGGAATTTTCCGGTTTTCCGGAAGTCCGGATGGACCCAGGAGGTCTCGGGTCCAGGGTCCGGATTCGGTACGGAGTCTGGTCTGGCGTAGCTATGTTTTGAACCCATCCCCCCTTCCCCCCTGTTTTGTTGGGGGGGGTTCAAAATTTCAAAACCTATGTACACGCTAAATATTAGTGACCCTTTAACCTTCTTTCTTTCTCACACATACACACACGCAAGCAGTTTTGCCAGTGGGTATACCTGGCTGAGTGGGTGTGTAGAGTGGTTTTATGGGTGCCGCACACTAGTTTCTTGGCAGGCCAACATGAAGGAAGAACAGGCACCACAAAAGACCACGTATTCAATATAACGCCCATGACCGCAAAATGGACATACAGTGTCCGGATGCGGAGGGTGTCTGCAGTCATCGAAGGAGGGACAGTCCTCTACACACGGATGTAGAAGCCATATCATTGTGGTGATTGTGGCAGAGACGATGGTGGCTACAGCCGAGTGCAACAACGTTTGTAGTTGAGCAAAGGAGAAGGTCGCAGCATGTTGGTACAGTCCTGCTGCAGCAGGGGGGCAGAGGAATAATCTTCAACATAAAAGCAGCGTCATTATGTAAGAAATCGGTAACATCAGTCATGGCATGGACCCATTGTTCCACAACTCCCACTGGTCGGAGGCATGTAGAATGGCCATGTTATGACCAGGTCTGTGGGCAATGCAGGTGGAGATGTAGGATGAAGGACTAAACCACCACCTGCTTGAGCATTGTGTAGTTCAAGTAGGCGGTTCCTCATTGCTACTTATAGGACCGCAATTGTAAAGCCTCTTTCCCTGGTATAATTACAATCCTTACCCTGTAGGCAGGGAAGATCGGCATGAAGCTGACGGGTAATTGCAAATGGAGAATGTGAAGACAAATATTAGTTGCAGCCAGACCACAGAGACTGGCGAGGATCCTAGGCTGGTGTGCCAAATGCTGGCCAACAATTTGAAGATCCCCCAGATGGCATTGCAAGCACCCCCCCCCCCCCCCCCCAAAAAAAAAAAAAAAAAAAAAAGTCTTGCTGGTCAGTCATTTGCAGATCACCCATGTGATCTGCCCCTGGTGGGGCAAAAAATTGTGGTTCATCCAAACAATGCTGGTCAGCCGTTTGCAGATCCCCCATGTGGTCTACGCTTTGTTGGGTTAATTGCAATCCAGGCAAATCGTGTTCTAATCCTTGAACGTTTGGGGCTAGATCCTGAATAGGGACTGCACCTGGAATCAGTTGTACCCTGGGATGGGACCTCAACCTGTCGTACAGGTGACTTATGAATATCTAACACTGACTGCAAGGCATAAAACACAGTCCTGTGGCTGCTTGCAGGAAGCTGGACTAACTGGACGAGGCATAGAACCACAACAACCTGTGGAGCCAGCACAAAGAGTATCGGTGCAGACAAAGAAACGGGCCGCTGATTCTCGAACAAGCGATGATGCGGTGCACGTTGTCGACAATACACAATAAGATTAGTGGTGTTGCAAACAGAAGACGAGCATGTCTCTGGCAACGTAGGTGGAACAATGGGAACAATGGGAACAATGTGAACAATGTGAACAGGAGAGTCTGTTTGCAAGTGAGACCGTGGAGGAGACGGGGTGGCGAGGAGGAACGCAGCCGCCTGCGGCCACGCATAGAAAGAGATGAGAGAGGGGTCGATTGGGCAAGACTTCAAAATAAAGGACCTGAGTGTTGAAGAGATTGTGATGTCTTTTGCACTGGAGCTGCGGCAAAAGAAGATGCAGCAACAAAAACTATAAAAATTGGGAGAATTCACCTGTGAAAACTTCTGTGGCAGTGGAAATTGCCATAAGAAAACAACAGCAGCAGAAAATTCAGCAGTGGAAACTCTCATGGTAGAAACTCCAGCAGCCGCAGCAGATGAGCAAGTAGGGCCAGGATGAGAGCGTTGTGGGGCCAAAGAAGAAAGTGGATAATATAGGGACCATTGCAGCATGTGTCAGAACCAGTAAGAGGAACGCATCACATGTGCAGGATAGCAGCGTTAGCGGAAGTGTGTGGGGCAATTAGCAAGGGTGGGTGGCGAATGCCCACAAGAAATCATGGGACAAGTATTGTCATTGCCGTAGTTTGAAATATACATATACGTACATATGATATGTGTATATATGCATATATAAGGGCAGTGGTTGTTGGCCCACCTCAGGGTATCCGTTGTGGGGCAGTTGATGCTTAACCGCTACCAGGGTATATGTCGTCATAGGGACTGACCAGTGCCCAGTGAACCGTAGGCAGAAAGGGAGAAAAGGACAACAAATGGGCGACTGTTATCGAATGTTTCGTCGGAGTTTTGCTGACTCATCAGGAGGCTGAACCCTCTAAAGT